TATTATATATATATATATATATATATATTATATATATATATATATATATATATATATATATATATATATATATATATATATATATATATATATATATATATATATATATATATATATATATATATATATATATATATATATATATATATATATATATATATATATATATATATATATATATATATATATATATATATATATATATATATATATATATATATATATATATATATATATATATATATATATATATATATATATATATATATATATATATATATATATATATATATATATATATATATATATATATATATATATATATAAACAGTAGTATAATATGGCTTTACCCTATCGCTACCCTTTAAGCCAACATCACAGAAAACCTGTAGCAAATTCATTGTCAATGGTGGGGAAAGTGTTAAACACAAAAGGTTTCATGTTTATGTACTGTAAAATCAAATCTCCCAAACGTTTGACAATATGTATAAAATCTTTTGATTGATCATGTTCTGTATTCCTTGCAAAAACAGACTCGTGTTCTGGTGACTCATGGGCTCAGCTTTCTGCCCCAAGCAGACCTGATCCTGGTGATGGCAGATGGAGAAATCAAAGAGATGGGCTCTTATGCCGAGCTTCTGAGCAGAAAGAATGCCTTTGCAGAGCTTAAGGCTTTTTCTGTTAGTGAACGCAAGGAAAGTGCCACCCTAAAAGGTAAGATAGAGTTTCCAGCTACTATGGTAACACTTTATTTGTTAACATTGTTAAAAAATGCAGATGCATCTGGTTTTAGGAACCAGGAAATCAGTATCTTTCCTAAGCATAAAAGACTTCTCTACTGACCTCATCAGGTAAAAGTAACCAAGTTTTAAAAATGCAACTTTTACATTCGTTGAAAAGCACATATTCACCTTCCTGTCAACTTTTTTTTAATGAAGGGGAGATTTGGGAAGTGCAAGTATACAAACCATGGAAGCAATATCTGACCCAAAACTGAATCAGGACAGGGATGAAGTTGGCAGACTAACCCAAGCTGACAAAGCACATACAGGCCGGGTAAGCAGTACAGCCACATCCGCAGACTTTACAAGCTAAGGGTAAACATCAAAATATACCTTTAATTGTAACTTAAGTGTAACGATAAGGTGGCAGGTTAATTTTCAGTGACAAGGGTTTTAGATACTCGTGTCACCACAGAAATCTAATTTTAACTTCTGATGACAGACCTTTAAGCTTCATTGTTCTGAACACTATATTATAGACTTTACATGCTAAACATAATCCAAAGTGCTGTTCATCACACATTCTTCTTCATAATGGGTCACATAGGTGAAACTGGAGATGTATGTGGAGTACTTCAGGACCATCGGCTTGGCCTTCATAATCCCCATCATCTTCCTCTATGCGTTCCAGCAAGTTGCTTCACTGGCTTACAACTACTGGCTCAGTTTGTGGGCAGATGACCCGGTTATAAATGGAACACAGGTTAACACTGATCTGAAGCTTGGTGTATATGGAGCTCTTGGCTTTGCTCAAGGTTTGCATTCTCTCAGGTTTCTTCAACAGGCATCTAGTATCCTTGGTCTGTAGAGTTCTCTTGAACATTAACTGTGATCATTTATTGCAGGAATTGCAATTTTCGGGACTACTGTAGCAATATCCCTTGGAGGAATAATTGCATCCCGGCAACTTCATCTGGACCTTCTGAACAACGTACTTCACTCTCCCATGTCATTCTTTGAAAGTACACCTAGTGGTAACCTTCTCAATCGTTTCTCAAAAGAGATAGACGCCATTGATTGCATGATCCCTCATGGTCTGAAGATCATGCTAGGCTATGTGTTCAAACTTCTGGAGGTTTGCATTATCGTGCTGATGGCAACTCCATTTGCAGGAGTGATCATATTGCCGTTGACTCTTCTCTATGCCTTTATCCAGGTATGCTACTAATGATAACCCAGAAAACAAGGAAATTAAAACAAGGAGCATTTGTAATTTATCTGACAAATTCCACTTTGTTTTTAGAGTTTCTATGTTGCCACATCCTGCCAGTTGCGAAGACTAGAGTCAGTGAGTCGTTCACCCATTTATACTCATTTCAATGAGACAGTCCAAGGAGCCAGTGTGATCCGGGCCTTTGGTGAACAGCCTAGATTCATTCTTCAGGCTAACTGTCGAGTGGACCTCAATCAAACGTCCTACTTCCCAAGATTTGTAGCTTCAAGGTCAGATTCAGTTTGCTTATTCATTCTTTGTTGCATGTCCAGCCATTCCATCTAACATTTTACAATATTTGTAATGTTATTTTAATAGGTGGCTGGCAGTAAATCTAGAGTTCCTGGGTAACTTGCTGGTCCTTGCTGCAGCTATCCTATCTGTTATGGGAAGGGCAACTTTAAGTCCTGGAACAGTGGGGCTAGCTGTGTCTCACTCTCTCCAGGTAGGAAACTCTGTCTTAAAAAGCTTTGGAAAAATGCATGTTGTCAGCATTTCATACAAGAAATTCTAAAGGCAATTCACACTGCAGGTCACCGGGATTCTAAGCTGGATTGTGCGGTCATGGACTGATGTAGAAAACAACATTGTGTCTGTTGAGCGAGTGAAAGAATATGCTGAAACGGCAAAAGAGGTAGTGCTGTTTCTGCAATAAATTTCCTTGCAATGAGTGACCAAATTAAATGTGTATGGTTATTCTTGAGATTACCAAGTTTGTTTTGTGTTGGCACAGGCACCATGGACATTCGAGGACAGTCCACTCCCGTCTGACTGGCCCAGATCCGGATCTATTGGATTCCAGGCATATGGACTTCAGTATCGCAAGGGTCTTGACTGGGCCTTGAAAGAAATTTCCCTCAGTGTCAATGAGAGAGAAAAAGTAAATATAACAATTGGAGGAATTTAATACATTTTTTCATATTTCATCATTTAATATATGCTAAGCCATTCATCAAATCCAATCAGGTTGGAATTGTGGGAAGAACAGGAGCTGGAAAATCATCTCTGGCTCTTGGAATCTTTCGTATCCTTGAGGCAGCAAAAGGAAAGATCTTTATAGATGGCATAAACATAGCAGAGATTGGACTGCATGAACTGAGGTCTCGTATCACTATCATCCCACAGGTACACCTGAAAATGAAAAAAAGGAAGTTAATAGCAAATGAGACAAACTTTAGGAAAAGACTTGATTTTAATCTCACCTCTTGCCCTAGGATCCAGTGCTGTTCTCGGGTTCGTTACGTATAAATCTGGATCCCTTTGATCGCTACACTGATGAAGAGGTTTGGAGATCTCTAGAACTTGCACATCTCAAGACCTTTGTGTCTGACTTGCCTGACAAACTCAACCATGAGTGTTCAGAGGGTGGAGAGAATCTCAGGTACAAACTCTAGATTTCTCACAAATTATTAGCTTGGGTTGTTTTATTCATAAGTTGACTTACACCTGGCCTCTCTAAATACTCTGGCCTTTAGTTTGGGTCAGCGGCAGCTGATTTGCCTGGCTCGAGCTCTCCTCAGAAAGACGAAGATTCTGGTTTTGGATGAAGCCACTGCAGCGGTGGATCTAAAGACGGACAATCTGATACAGTCCACCATCCGAACCCAGTTTGAGGACTGTACAGTTCTGACCATTGCACACCGCCTCAACACCATCATGGACTACACAAGGTGTAACAGAGAGTAAATCTAAATGCTGAAATGAATATGATTATGACGATTGACAGTGGTCTAACTCAATCCTTTTGCCAACAGGGTAATTGTGATGGACAGAGGGAACATCACAGAGATAGACTCTCCATCTAACCTGATATCTCAGCATGGTCAATTCTATCGAATGTGTCGAGAGGCTGGGCTGGTGTGAACCTTCACCATCAATGACAAAATCGTATCTTCACTTAGGAGAGACAATGAAAATATTGGTGTAGAATAACCAATATCTAAATGGCATATATAGATGGCTACTCAAGTGAAGCACAAAGCTCAGGATGAAGAGGACTTGGATGCAATAGTTGTTCTAGTAAAGCTGGTGTACACATTTTCTCCTGTACAACAGAAGTAGTGTGCTTTAGCCTGCTGGTACTTTCACTGATGTCTGAGGTGCGAAATCAGAAAGACTCAGTAATCAGTAATCTCATTTCAACATTTAAAGACTTGAGTGACCTTTAGCAACTTACCGTAGAGTTCTTCAGGTAGTCAGACAGTATTTATCTTCTCTAATTTAAATGAAAGTAAAGTTTCATTCAATACTGTAGTTTATTCTTATAGTTCCTTAGACAGGATTCCTTTCCTTAATTATTTCATTTAAGCACATTTAAACCTAAATTCCCTTACAAATGAAGCATGCATTTATTTAAAGCTATTTACAATGTGAGAAATACGTCGTATTTAAAGCAGAGTCACGGGGCAGCAGTTTCTCATCAGACACTTCCTCCAGCTTCTCTGGGAGAATTCCAAGATGTTCCCTGGTATGCAGAGACGCAACCAGTTTGCCCTGGAGCTTCTCCTAGGCCCCTTTCTGGTGGGCAACACCTCCCCTGGAGGCATTCAAAACAGATGCCCCAGGCACCTCAACTGGCTTCCCTTGACGAGGTGGAGCAGCGGCTCTACTCCAAGGCCCCGTTTACACTAATGTGTTTTAGTTTGAAAACGCATACGTTTTGCTACGGTTACGCCATCCGTCCACACTGCGCCGGAGTTTTCGAGAGCCAAAAACGGAGCGTTTTGGAAACACTGGAGAGGCCATTTTCATTTTCAAAACCCTGCTGCTCCGTTTCAGTGTGGATGGGGGAAAACGGAGACATCTGAAAATGGAGGCGGGGCTGCTTAGATTCACTACCTGATTGGGTCTTTTGTGTCATTGCGTATCCTTCCCTTATTCATCAAGCCCCTATCACATGACTATAACACATGGCTTTAACGCCACCGGAAGACAGCAGACCAGCCTTCACTGTAAACAACAACATGGACACAGAAATGGGAGCGTTGTTTGCACTATTGTCTGTTTTAGGCACCCTTGTGCAGTTATTAATTTGTTATGTTTAGTAACAACTCGACTACGTCGTCTGTCCACAAAAATACCTCTCTTGCTTTCATTGCCATTGCGTTCATTATTCAACCAGCGTTTGTTGACTAACAATAACCAATTGCCGAGCGAGACACATGCTTCCTGTTTATACTAGAACGCGCATACCCAGAGTGCGCAAATGGTCACGTGATATACGTTTTTGGTGGCGTAGTGTGGACTTAGATATGTTCAGAAACGCTAGGTGAAACGTTAGTGTGGACGCGAATCATTTTTTATCTAAAACGCCATTTTAAAACTAAAACGCACTAGTGTAAACGGGGCTCAAGTTCCTTACTGGAGACAGAGCTCTTCACCTTGTTTATAAGGG